CCTAGTGAGCTCGGTTCTGTCGACGACTGGTTGCTAGTTATAATATCGGGACCGGTTTTCACCAAGAATTCCTAGCGAACCCCATTTTCACACGGAAAGCAAGGCAAACAGATTAATATAAGATGGGTTCCGACGATTTCAAGAAGAGCCAATCTCCAACTAACTCCAAATCATGCATCAAATGCATGAGTCCCTACGTCATCGCTTTAGGCGTGCTCGTCGCCCTGATGACCTTCTTCCACGTGTCACCATCGCAGCCGTCGCCTGGATTAAGCTCCTTCGGTCCGTCTTACCTTCCGCCGAATCTCGGCTGGGTCGCGTTTCTGTTTCCCAGCACGAGCAAGATCGATGCGACCATCTGCCGCGCGGAGGCGAATTACTGGGTAAGTATGAAGTGAGAGGAAGTGATAGGGGTGCTGTACGGTTCTTCACCCCGTGCGCATGAAAGAGATGATTCTCGTTCCCGCGTTTCTGTTTCCCAGCACGAGCAAGATCGATGTGACCATCTGCCGCGCGGAGGCGAATTACTGGGTGAGAGCACACAAATCGCATACACGAATCGCATTCGTATGTAGTTTTTGGTCAGGTATTATCACAAAATGTGAGCCTCAGATTATAATCCATATAAACATTTACGTTTGGCTTTGTCGAGTCGTTATGAGCGCAGGTGCGAGGAGTTTCAAAGCGCATTCTCGCTCTAAACGTCCACATTGGATCAACATGGATGTCGCATCAAACACGCGCGTTTGATAACCTCATTCTCGTCCTTTCCTGCAGGAGACTTTGGAGAATCCAAAACAAACTCCTCTCATTGCATGAGAACGTTGAGTTTTGAGACGTCTCAAAATCTCCTCACATTGCGGGTGAACGTTGAGTTTTGAACGTTGAGCACAGAGAGGGGAGCTTCGCCTTGAAGGCGCGTTCTCGGTCTAGACGTTCTCATTTGATTACCTCCTCCTCGTTCTTTTCCGCTTCCCGAATCGCAGGAGAACATTGAGCGCAGGCGCAAGGAGTTCAATGGCGCGCTATAGCCGATGCTGAGCAACCCCCGGTTTGTCCACATTCTCCGTCCAAGCATTTACATTTCCTCTCTTTTATCGGAATTTATTATTTCTTATCGGGTACATTTCCACGTTACAGGAGAACGTTGAGCGCCGGCGCAAGGAGTTCAGCGGCGACCTGGGCGATTCCCTTCTTGTATCCCGCGGCTAAGCATTTACGTTTCCTCTCCTCGTATCCTTTATTTATATATACATATATATATATATATATATATGTTATTTTGGTTCTTTACTCTTCAGGAGAACGTTGAGCGCCGGCGCAAGGAGTTCAATGGCGACCTACAGCCGATGCTGGGGAACCCTGTGCGGATGAAGGAGCTGATCCTCGTGCCCACGTACACGTGTCCCCTCAACGAGCGCATCGGGAAATGGGGCGACGGCGGGAAGGTGAGAAGGGAATTTGAGAGGATGGAAAGGTTAAGAGGAAGAGAGAGGGGTGCAGTACGGTTCTCAACCCCGTGCGGATGAAGGAGCTGATCCTCGTGCCCACGTACACGTGTCCCCTCAACGAGCGCATCGGGAAATGGGGTGACGGCGGGAAGGTGAGAAGGGAATTTGAGAGGATGGAAAGGTTAAGAGTAAGAGAGAGGGGTGCAGTACGGTTCTCAACCCCGTGCGGATGAAGGAGCTGATCCTCGTGCCCACGTACACGTGTCCCTCAACGAGCGCATTGGGAAATGGAGCGACGGCGGGAAGGTGAGAAGGGAATCTGTTAGATGATGAACGGTGGGATGGAAAGGTTAAGTGGAAGAGAGGGTACACTCATTTCGAGCCTCGCGCCTTCCCTCACACCCCCCCCCAACCCCCCTTTCCCCTCCCCTCTTCTTTCACAAATAGGAAAAGGAGAACGAGAAATGGACTTGCAGATAACTTTTGCGTGTCCCTCTGTGCGGCTGTTCTCATGCCTCCCTCCCCATGCCTCCCTCCCCATGCCTCCCTCCCCATGCCTCCCTCCCCATGCCTCCCTCCCCATGCCTCCCTTCCCATGCCTCCCTCTCCATACCTCCCTCCCCATACCTACCCTGTCATGCCTCCTTCCATCCACAGTGGGCGTGCATGATGCCGTCTGTCATCCAGAAGAAAGATCCGGTCGTGTACAGGTGAGGGCGGTGAGATGCAGTACGGTTGAGGCCGGTGAGAGGGCAGTGGAGGTGAGGGCAGTGAGATTGTTACATAATGGACGGGTAAAGAGTGTGCATGGTATCTGAATTCATACGATCGCATCAAATTCAATTGTTATTCTCTTGTTTCTTATTCTCACTTGTCATCCCCTACTTGTTATTCCATTCCCATCGTACGTTTTCGTTGAACAGTCATAAAACTGCTTCACACTCCTCCCTCCCCCTTACGTCTCTCCCCTGCAGCATCGGCAGCTTTGGCATGTACTCATTCGAGAAGGAGATGCACCAAATGCTGCGCACCATGCCCTACACCTTCGACCCCTTCCTCCCCCCTGAAAAGCGCAACATCATGGCCGCCCTCCCCTTCCTCCACTTCATCGAAATCGGCCTCTCCGGAACCGCCTCCCTCCCCGTCTACCGCACAAGATTCCCCGAGAAAAAGTTTGCGACGCTGCCCGAGATGATGGGGCAGTTCGGGCATAATTATGTGGACGTGTTCAAGATTGACTGCGAGGGGTGTGAGGTCGAGTGGATCAAGGACCTTGGCAAGCTGTATAACAACACTGGGAAGAGGCTGGCTGTGCATGGAGGGAAGCTTCCTTTCGGGCAGATTCTAATTGAATTCCACAAGTAAGGGGTATTTCTAGTGAAATTGATAATTCACCCGTTTTTGCAGCGGTGCTCCCTTTCTGCCTCTGTTCTCTTTCAGTTTGCATGCTCTCATGCTTTCTCTCGTATTCTCTCGTCGCATCTGTGTTTGCAAGGGTAATCCAACCTATTCTGCAGTAGCCATAACCACCTCCCCTTCCACGTTCTCTGCTTCTCCATCCTCGTTATTGTCTGTTCCCTTCCCGTTTGCAGCATGGACAAGAGCGTCAAGACTCTCACAATGGTCTACACGCTCGAGAATCTCGGCTATCGCATGTTCAGCATTGAGTACAACCACCGCTGCGCCGTGTGCTGTGAGATGAGCTTCATTCACGAGAGCCTTGTAAGGCCAGATAGCGCCACCGATTGCCGCCCGTTCCTGGCTCCCCCGCTAGAGGACAAGCTGGAAGTGGAGGTGGTGACTGAGGGAGGTGGTACTGGAGATGATGGTGCTGCTGCTGGTGATGGTGGTGATGGTGCTGCTGCTGATGGTGATGGTGCCACTGGTGATGGTGATAGTACTGGTGATGATGGTGTTGGTGCTGTTGATGGTGCTGCTGCGGCTGCGGAAATTGCTGGTGGTGCGGTGGATGGTGTTGATGCTTCTGGCGCAACTGATGCTACAGATGCTACTGACGCCGATGGTTCTGCTGCTGCTGCTGCTGCTGCTGCAGCTGCTGCTGCTGATTCGATTGCTGAAACTAAGGACACCAAGGAGGCAGAATCTGCTGGTGATTCTGATATGGAGCCTGGCAGCAAGGTGGCTGCTGAGGAGATTGAGAAGGAGAAGAAGGGAGTGGACAATGAAGAAGAGGAGGAGAAGGAGGAGACGGCAAGTGAGAAGGTTGTTGGAAACAGGAAGGTGAAGGTTGGAGGGAAGGGCAAGGAGGAGGGGAGCAACAAGGGGACTAGCAAGGTGACCAGCAAGGGGAGCGTGAAGGGAAGCACCAAGGAAAGAAGTACCAAGGTGGGGAAGAAGATCAGCAAGGAGAAGAGCAGCAAAACGAGCAAGAAGGAAACCAAGGAGGAGGAGGAAGAGGAGTGATCGATGATAATTGGAAAGAAGTGAGTGGGCTACGGAAGAAGAGTTGGTGGGGTTGGGGGAGAGCTTTTCAAGGCAATATAGTGGCCAATTACCAGTCTGGCATTGTTACAAGAGCATGGATTTAGCATATGAAAGAATAGGAATTATGTTGTTGAAAATTAGGTTTCCATTAGCTATTTATTGTTGAAGATAGTTTGGAAACTCCTTATTTGGATCTTGATATATATAATGAGATGGTTCTAGCGGATCTTTATGTACTTCTCTTCATAGAAAGCAAATAACGGATCGCTGGAGCGGGTAAACGAGTGACTCAAGAATGTGTTGACGAAACTACTATCGAGGTTGTAACCAGGTCACTAAGTCCGCTCCCGATCGCGTTGGGAGAAACAAGGATCGCGAGATGAAATGACGACCTCTTTTGCGAAAACGACAGCGAAATCCTTAGTGAAGCGATTTCGAGAAAGTGCCCTCTGTGAATTGAATTATTCATTTCGCCGCGTTCTGGGTTCTGTGATTGGCGTTGGGGCATTGCTAAATGGAACAGGAATTTTGATTGGAGGATTGCCTTCCAAAATTGCATTATGCGGCCCTCGTATAATTCAGTGCGATTCGCCACTGTGGGCTATGGGTGAGGGTGAGGTGAGCGCGCATCAGCGCAGAACCGCACTTCAAGCATTTTCCTGAAACCCAGCTGTTGCATAAAATGAGACTTCTCACAATTCCTCTTCACCATTTACTTCTACAAGCCACAACTCTAAGAACCACACAGTGCGCAATTTGACCCTTTCTACTACTCCACCTGTTGATTTAGCCTCGCGCTAGTGAGCTTTCGTCAGTATGCTGCTCGGGTTTCTCCTGGTGCTAATCTTATCTTGCGGACCGCGTGACAGCGAAGGAGCGAGTCGGGGGCGGCTTCTAACCGATGGCGAGCACGTTCAAAGTAAGTCACGATCATTTCTCCCCGCCGTTCTTCACCACGTTCAGCCCCGATGAACGTGTTAACCTTGCCTCGTGTTAACCTTGCCTCTTCCGTGCCTCACGACAATTACGTTCCATTCTGCGTCCCCCGAGGTTTAACTTGTATATCAATTTTACCCCAATTCTCTTCCCGATCCCCTTGGGCAGCTGGAGTCGCACTCCAATCGTCGTTCGAGCAGTCTCTCTCCGCTCCTGGCGACTCGGGTGACGCGCAAGTCCCCTTGCTATTTGAAGACGCTACCCTTCCGCGCAAACTGCAGCAGCAGGGGCAGCAGATTCCCACGCTGAGGCAGATCGGCAGACAGATGCTGACAACCCTGAAACAGCAGCAGCAGCGGAAGAAGCCGAGGCCGAAGACGCAGCAGATCGCCTCCGATACAAGGTAGATGGCTGTTGCTGTTTTATTAGTAATCCCTATCAATGCTCTTTCTCTCCATGCATATTTTTTTGTGAGACTTTTTTAAATGCTGCTCGTTCCCCACCGCCGCCGTCTCGTCATCCCGCCAGCAAGAATTCTGGCCTGGGGATTGCGGGAGAGACAGCACGCAAGCAGATGCAGGCCTCTGTGCCCCCACAGTGGAGCTTTGCCGTCGTTTCGAGTGGGGCTGTGATGACCACACTGTATCATTAATGCATTTTTTTGTGTAACGCTGTTTGCTTCCTTGCTTCGCAGCAAAACCTCCTGGCCCGAGGTGGTGGGGATGAAGGGAGAGGCGGCTCTCAAGTATATCAAAGCCGCTGTGCCGCCTTCGTGGACCGTTTCCGTCATTCCGAGTGGGTTTGTGACGACCACGGACTTTCAAGAGAATCGCGTTCTCATCTACAAGGACAAAGCTGGGATCGTTCAGAGACCTCCCACGGTTGGCTAGATTTTTTTGACGAGGTGACTTTCGAGTCGACTAAATAGTCTGGGTTTATGATGACCGCAGACTTTCGAGAGAATCGCGTTCTCATCTACGTGGACAAAGCTGGGATCGTTCAGAGAGCTCCCACGGGCTAGATTTTTTGAATGAGACGGACTAGTGGTCTACATTAGTGAGAGTGGGCACATGGAGTTTAGGCTGCAGCCAAACTGTAGCAGCAGGGTTGTGGGACATCTGGGGACAAATGCACGTTTTCCTAAGCTGTTTGTGACAATCCTTGTATAATACCATCTTGTACTATGTTATACTACCCGAAGTTTCTTTGCATGAGGCTATCCGGAGCTGCATCAGCACTCAAAAGCGCCATGTCATCACTTATGCGGACAATTCGATGAGGCCCTGTAGGTGACTAGCTCTCTCGCCAGGTGGCGTTACTAAATGGAAGGTTTGGGAGACTATGTGGGACGGGGGCGGGGGGGGAAGGGGGGGGGGGGGGGGGGGGGGTTGGGGGAGGGTGGAGGGGGAGACGGTAGGTCTGGGAAAGGGTTGCGGGAGGCAAGTTATGCTTTCGGTGTGCCAGACCTCCATTTCAGTGTGCAACTCCTCCATTCAGTGCTTTCTCAGTGTCAAAACGCTGACTTATGGGGGCCTGGGTGCTTATGGTAGCATCAACATATTTCAGCCCAAAGCGAGTGTCCGTGAAAAGCATCTGGTAAAATTTTCGTATCACCCTAATCTTCGGATTAATTTGACAACATTTCTCACGGGTGGTAGACTGTAAAGCATGTTCTATTGTAGCTTTGTTATATTTTATGCAACTCAGTACAGTGATCACAGAAATGATAGGTGGTTGCTTGGGTAAGCGGGGTTCTGGTAAGGGATGTTACCACCGCCCGGTTTGAAACGCGAAAAATGTTCGCCAAAGTGTTTACCAGGTCCGGCGAATTTTGTAAGGCCACGAGATGGCACGTGTTTGGTTTTCGCGAAAATTTGAGTCGTCGGCGGATTCATTCTCGCCAGTCAAACAGCTGTCATCGTTCCTCGCATTATTCCGTTCGCCGCGTTGTGCGTGGTCTGATTGGCGCTCGAGCATTGCATAATTGGAATGAGAGAGGGATAGGAGGATTTCCCTCACAAATTTTGCATTATTGCGCCTCCCTGATTCAGTGCGATTCGCCACGATGGCTTATGGTTATGGGTGAGGTGAAGTGAAGGTGGACGCACATCACCTCTCAACCGCACGACTTCATTCCGCACATACTGATTTGGTGAAGGACCTGGGCTGTCACATAAAATGAGCCTTTCCGCAGTTCCTCAGCAGTAACTCTAGAACCACGCAGTGCACTAATCGCCTCTGTATATTACTCGAGCAGTTGAAATTAACCCCAATCCAGAAGCGTTCGTCAGTATGCTGCTCGGATTTCTCCTCGTGTTGATTTTGTCTTGCGAACTGCGGGACAGCGAAGGAGCGGCAAGTCGAGGGCGACTTCTAACCGATCATGACGACCACGATCGACGTAAGAAACGTTTGTTTCATGCCACAAGTGTGTGATTTGGTGAAGGTGGGGGAAAATGGGGAGGGGAAACCGAAACGCGCTAGGCAAAATCCAAGTGGGTTTTCATTTGTGCATGAGCCCGGTACTGACCATCATCACGTAGCAACTAATCTGGTCGCTTTCCCTTGACTCAAGACCTCGTGGGTCGGACCCACGACGCTCACCTGCCCCGGGGCCTCCGAGATCTGGTTCCTATCTCGAGTTCTCCAAAACATTCTCCCCAATCCCCTTGAACAGCCGGATACGTTCACCAATTTTCGACAGGCCATTCAGGCGACGCGCAAATTCCCATCATGCTCGGCGGAGATGCTCCAGTGCCGCGCAAACTGCAGCAGCAGCCCGAGGGGCAGCAGATTCAGACGCTGAGTCAGATCAGCAGACAGATGCTGACGACCCTGAAGCAGCAGCAACAGCGGAAGAAGAAGCAGGGGAAGAAGAAGAAGCTGAAGCAGCCTAGCCCTGTCATGCCCCCTGAAGAGATCGAGCAGCCTTCTACAAGGTGTGCTCTCTCTCTCTCTCTCTCTCTCTCTCTCTCTCTCTCTCTCTCTCTCTCTCTCTCTCTCTCTCTCTCTCTCTCTATATATATATATATGTTATAGTCACAGTAGGCTTGAATGTGCCTAAAACGAAAGATAGAGAGCACAGACGGATTTCTGCACAGCGGCTTCAAACGTTGATAGCGTTCTGCTCACAGCTGCAAATGACTTGATTCAAATTGGATCTGGAGCGTCTTTACGTCGTCTACAATTAGCAATTTAGGTTGCACGATTTGATAAAGAATTGACGACACAGCGTCGGTTTGAACGAACGGTACTATGGCAGCCACTATAGTCTTAGAACACAAGATAGGAAGAGTTACGAGTTGGGAATGACTCCCAGCTCCTACAAACCCCAAGAGCCGAGGTACAGTGATGTGGAACAGTGCCACACTGTCCCCAACCACGAAGGGTCTCGAAACTACCCTTCACTAGGGCCTACACCAAGTGAAATGTTACAGTACACAAAGTAATGTAACTATCTTCAATATCTTGAGGTGTACCCTTTTTGGCGAGCTTCGAAATCACTTGAGGCTTGACACCAAGGCTCGGGCTCTTCATCACAAACTCATCCTTGAGTTCTTGATGGGTCTGCTGCACACACCTGCGACACGCCGAACGTTCGACACAGGACAAAATAGAAACCGCGCACGACAAAATAGAAACCGCGCGCGAGACACAAACGACCGCGTAACACGCGTCTAGCGATAACTCGCTATTGACTCGACACACACACTCGACATCATGACTCAACATTCACACACAATTATAAGCATGAAATATATATTATCCCATGCCCTCATACCATTCCATACACACACACATTCACGCACACGGACAACAAGCCGAGTGCAAACCGTAGGGTTGCACCAACAAACTCCCCCTCGGATTGTTGGCCTTAGGATATGTTGCTCTCTCAGTTCAGAGCCATCCCAGCCAGCTTGCAACACTTCCAATGCTGCTGCTCCACCAGCCTCTTGGTCATCATGTCAGCCGGCTGCCCCGTGGTCTTCACGTAGCGCAACTCAACTTCACCCGCGGTTACCATGCTCCTCGTCCAATGCCACTTCACCCTCATGTGCTTCGTGAGTCCATGCAACACAGGGTTCTTAGCAAGAGCAATGGCACCCTGGCTGTCACAGTACAGTGGGGTAGGTCCTTGCTGCTCCTCCCCCAATTCAGCCAACAAACGCCGCTGCCACACAATCTCCCGTACGGCACGGAAGAGTGCCATGTACTCGGACTCCACCGAGCTCAAAGCTTGGTCAACCTGCTTCTTGCTCTCCCAAGCAGTTGGGCCTCCACCAACACAGCATATGAAGCCTCCCACACTTGTCATGTCCTCTGGTTCTGATGCATATGAAGCATCCGAGTAGGCGGTGAGGAACAAACGCCCGGGTTCAACACCATCCGCGCCCTTTTGGCGCCTTTGTGCCGCCGCCGAGTATTGCAGCCCAACGGTCGGTGTTTGGCCAAGATACTTGGCCACCCTCATTCCAGCTGCTACCTGCTCCTCATTAGGGCATTGCACAACCCTAGCCAGCTGCCCGGTAGCAAACGCGACGTCCGGTCGGGTGTTTACCGCCGCATACATGAGGCTGCCCACCAACGAGTGAAATCGGCGCCTCTCCTCTTCACCAACGCTCTCCTCCTCTGGTCCCTTCACACACTTGAACCCAGAGGGAAAGGGTGTAGCCACATGGCCTTCACTCTGCCCAAAGTTGGCAGCCAATGCCTCCAGGTACTTTCGTTGATGCACCCGCATGCACCGCTTCTCCACATCTCGTTCGATGTGGAGCCCAAGGTAGAAGCTCACGTCACCAAGGGCCTTGCACCTGAACTTGTCTTGAAGCTTCAGCATCACCTCCTTCACAAGGTCAGAAGAGGGTGAGAAAATGAGGATGTCATCCACATAAACCACCATGAAACTCCTCTGCTCCCCCTCGCCAAGCATGAACAAGGAGTGATCGGCCGTTGAGGGAGTGAAGCCGATCCCCTCCAACACTTCGCGCAGCTTCATGTACCATTGCCTAGGGGCCTGCTTCAGCCCATAGAGGGCCTTCTTCAGCTTCCACACTCTGCCACTACCATCATCAAACCCCTCTGGCTGCGCCATAAAAATCTCCTCCTCAAGGATGCCGTTAAGGAATGCCGTTACGATGTCCATTTGCTTTACTACCCATCCTTTGATGGCGGCTCCCGCGAATAGGGTTCGCAGCGTCGTCGGCTTCACCACAGGGGCAAACAGCTTCTTGAAGTCCACCTTCTCCTTCTGCTGGTACCCCTTGGCTACAAGCCTAGACTTGTAGCGCTCGATCTTGCCGTCGGCATCCGACTTGATTTTGAAGAGCCACTTGGACGTTATCGCCGTACGCCCCTCCGGTAGCTCCACCAATTCAAACGTGTCATTCTCCTCGATGCTCTTCA